AAATTAAATCTTTAATGCAATTAATTGCTTTTTGAAATTAAATCTTTAATGCAATTAATTGCTTTTTGAAATTAAATGTTTAATGCAATTAATTGCTTTTTGAAATTAAATCTTTAATGCAATTAATTGCTTTTTGAAATTAAATCTTTAATGCAATTAATTGCTTTTTGAAATTAAATCTTTAATTCAATTAATTGCTGCTAATTCTGAAATTAATTTGCTGCGCTGCAGCAGCACTTTGTGCAGAAAGTCGGAAGCAGAAACTTGGCTGTTCAGGTGTCTGTACACTTCAGAAGCAGCAGCAAGCCGCGCAGCAGCCCCGAAGCAAAATTATAATCTTGCTGCTGCTGCTGCTGCTGCTGCTGCAGCAAGTTGTTAAAAATCATAAATGGCAAAAGAAAGGAAGCAAATGAGTCAGCAGCCAAGGCTGAACTTTGCCTCAAACCAGAGCAGCAGCAGCAACAGCAGCAGCAGCAGCAGCAGCAACAGCAGCAGCGCCAGCCGCAGGCCCGGATTTTGGTGTCTGTACACCCTATGATGATGTTGCTGCTGCTGTTGCTGTTGCTGCTGTTGCTGCTGCTGCTCTGTGGTTGCTGTTGCTGCCGTTTTTACCGTTGCTGCTGCTGCTGCTGCTGCTGTTGCTGCTGTTGCTGGTGCTGCTGAGAGGGCTTCACTGCTGCTGCATCTGCTGCATCAAAGCCCTTTTATTTTATTCTTCTTTTTATTCTTTTATTTATTTCTGCAAACACTTTTAGTCTCACTTTAATTAAAGCAATTAACCAGCTCTCTACTCTAGTATTCAAGCATATACACAAACCCTAAACCCTAAACCCTAAACCCTAAACCCTAAAGCCTAAAGCCTAAACCCTAAACCCTCAGCTCTTTTTCTTTTTGCCAGCCTCTTGAGGCCTCGCCTTTGGCCAGCCTCCCCCTTGTCCCTGTTTTTGCTGCTTCTTTCTCTTGTTTACTTTGCTGCTGCTGCTGCTGCTGCTGCTGCTGCTTCTGCTGCAGCTGCTGCTTAGGTCTGCTGCTGCTGCTGGCTTCGTCTTGAGCCTGCAGCGGCCGCCGCGCAGCAGCTGCTTCGTCGCAGGCTTTGAAACAGCTCCGGGGCTCGAAACGAGGGTTTAGGGTTTAGGGTTTAGGGTTTAGGGTTTGGAGGGTCACAAGCTCATTCCACAATCCTCAGGAGTGTGTCTTTTCTTATTTGCTGAATCCGCACTATTGCGTTCGTCGCTGCTGCGAGACCTCCGCCGCGCCTTGCTGCTGCTGCTGCTGCTGCTGCTGCTGCTGCTGCTGCTGCTTTTCTTGCAGCTGCTGCTGGAGTACATTGGCTTAAAGGGGGAAGCGCTACTTGATTGTGCTTTTTGCTTCAGCAGCTTTTGTGTCTGTGGCGGCGTTGCTGCTGCTGTCACTGCTGCTGCAGCAGCAGCAACGAGCCGCGCCCCCACAGCCTTC